GGCAATCACAGGCAAAAACATGGTGTGTAGATAGCAGATTGTTTAAATATTTTATTTCTTTATGAGGCACAAATTATCCTTCCAAAACATTTCAAAAAGCACCCTATTCTTTAATAGGCTTTCACGTGTGGAGTGATTGTGGGAATGGATCTTTATACCTCTTCCCCTAGAGAAAGACTAATTCAACCCAAATCATGGGTGGAAAGTAAACTAAAAGAATGGAAATTCTATTAATTTCTTTTAAGAGTCTACATTTTTTTCATTGTGTGGGTCTCTTTCTATTAGTAACTTCTGTCATTTTATTCCTATAAACTTGAAAAATAATGGAATGCCAAAGAACGTAGCATTTGCTCTTACCTCAAAAAAACCAACAGAGGTTTGTTAAAGATAAAATTGATTCTTAATTTGTGGTTTATAGTTCTATGGGAGAGTGGTAGAAGAATCATGTAAAATGTTTTCTAAAAAGTAATAATTCCAATTACTCTTTGTCAATTCTTGGTTCTTGAGATATTTCTGATAAAATTTTTAGCCATTATATGTAGAGGATGTGGTTTGGAATGGATTAGAAAATAGATATGTAACAAATGAGTTTGAGAAAAGTCCTGGGGAATGTTGATCTCAATTACATTTTCTTTTTCCAGTCACCATATTTGTTATTTATTTAGTTAATGCATGTGGTGTTTGAAAATTAAGGGCAGGCATACAATAAACCACTACCATTATAAAACAACTAGGAAAGTGTCTGAATTAAAGATTTATGTCTATATTTATTCTCATGGGCCAGTCTTTGATAATTTAAGAGCTCAATTAAATAGGTTAGCTCTGTATCATGACTTTATATTAGTCTCTCTCTTCCCATAATAGTTGGTCTGAGTATTCTTCAGTTGTAGAGCATGAAGAGGATAGGTTTTGGATGATGAAAGGTATAGGTTCATATTGCATCTTTCCAAATTTTCAATCTATAACCTCGAATGAGTTATATAATCTGTATTCTCTCTTAGAATTCATGTCGCCAATTATAAGTTGGCTCATTATGAACATAAAGTAAAATAAGAAATAGAAGGTCATGTTGTAATGTGAAATATCTTGCACTTAGTAGATGCTCAAGTAATGTTAACTGTCATTATTATGTGGTGCCTTTTTTGGTAACATGTTCATATAGTCACATGACTTCTCTTTCCTTACCTTTTTTATGACAAATGCCTGTGATAGTACTCTTGTCATAATAGACCTTGAATTCTATTTATTCATGATGATATCTTGATATTCAGTTATGGTGGTGTATTGAGTGTGTTCTATGCCAGACATTGTGCTAACACTCATTTTGTTTGGTCTGTACCTTGGTTTTATAAGGTAGTTTGTCCACTTTACTGATAATAACTTGCAGCTTAGAGAAATAAAGCCCTACCACTTGTAAGTGATGAAAGCTGTTGTCTTAAACATAAAACTGGATATAAATCTGTAAAGCAAATCATAAAATATGAACATTACTTGTACTGATCACATCAAATTATTTTAGACTTTAATCTTGAGGACTATATCTTAGATCACTGAAGATTTGATTAACATGGATGACAAGTGAATGAAAATGAAAATAATAAAAATATGTTATAATCGATGACATGAATGTTTACAAATATTCAACAACACAGTAGAGATTTGGAAGAGAAAGAAAACTCTGTCGATTAGGGTGGTTAGGGAAACTTTCACTGAAAAGACAGGGAGAGCATGAGATTTGGGTGATAGAAAGATGAATGAAAGAAAAGTTTGATGTAAGAATGCAACAATCTTGTGTATGGCATGTGGTAGGCACTCAGTATGCATTCATCATGTGTCTAAATGAATTAATGATGTTACTGACAGGAAAGTATTGTGGACACCCATCAGGCAGTATGGAAGTATTTAAAAATGGAAATAGATATGTCTTTGCAGAAGAATAGGATATATTTAGACAAAAATTCTAGAAAGAGGCTCTGCAAAAATATTATATGTAACACAGGGTTTAAAGAAAGTAGGAATTGAGTAAAAAATTTGTTTTTATAAAGTCATTGACAGTCTTTGAGTACAGCTTTGCTTCAGTAATAAGGCAAAACTAGACAGCCAAAGATTTTATAGATGAGTTGGTGTGAAGGAAATCAAGGTAGCTAGTCATCAAGGCAATCCTATTTATTGTAAGATTTTGTTATTATCTTGAAATATAAAGCAATGTTTGCATGAAGTCATGCTGATGAGTTTCTGTCTGTTTTTGACAACCCATTGATGAGACAAAACGGCTCTCA